GGGTGCCCCCGGCGCCCAGGCCGCCGCCCCTGCCAGTCTATGTGGCCCAAGGACTCCACAGCACTTGTGTGCAGCGTCCGGAATCAGGTGAGATCCAGTTCTCGGTACACGATGCTAGGCGCAAATAGTCCACGTTGGAAAGATCGGGGGCGGCGACTCAGACGTGGAGCTGTTGTTTCTCATTCTTATCACAGAGCGCCTTTGTTTAATCAAGTACCTTATAAGCGCACCGCGACCTTATTAATAGCGGGCACCAGGTGCCACCGCCAACCCAGAGTCTCACCTCCCCGCCTTCGTCCCAAAGGCTTTCTGCCTGATCTCTCTTTGTTTCTCACATTTATTTCTCTGCCCTGGCGGTCTCCTGTGTCGAAGGATTGATTTAAGGTTGGACAAAAGCGCCAGAGACGGGTCACATCCAACTGTTTCCAGTCGCCACCACTTTCCCTGCATCTGCCAGCTTCTCTGGGCATTGCGAGCCTTGCCTGATGCTGGAAGTCAAGCAGTGGGAAGCGATCGGCTTTCCAGCATTCACAGTATTGTGGACCCAGTTCAACATAGAAAGCACACAGAGCAAACTAAGTAAATAATGACATTTCTCACAAACCATTTCTGTAAAGCCTACCATAACAAGTAGGATCAGGGCCTAAGTGAAGAGGTGCTTTGTTGTCATGCTTTCCTGTCCTGTGCTCATCGATCTTGCTGTTGCAAGACAACCACAGTTTTGGAACTTCAGAGCTATTCTCAGATGGTATATCAATGCTCATTCACGGGCAAGAAAGGGAAGTTTAGAGAGGTGGTGATTCTTGGTCACGACAGGACCACTGCACAAACTCATGACAGCTGTGGTTTCCTGCACAAGCTCTGGAAGGGGCTCACCAGCCCCCACCCCTAGCTGAGGAGCTACTGACAACTGGTGGCTGGTAGAGGAGGGAGAGTCAGTTTTCCTTGGCAGTGTGGTTCCTGGTAGGTCCACCTGCTGCTATGCCTACCTAATGAAAAAAGAAGAGGGCATCAAGGTGGAGGTGGGTGGGTGGGGATTGGATCTAGGAGGAGTAAATATGATCAAAATACATTGTATGTGTGTATGAAATTATCAAACAATTAACAAAAATATTACATTAAAAGGATACCCAATAATGCATGAGATTTGAAACAGGAGTCCATTTGGTTCCAGGTCATTAGCAACTTTCAGCATTGTGAGCCACAGTGTCATTTTGCCCTTGTTTTCTCTAGATTTCCATCCTTATCTTTTTATTTCCACTACTGAAAAAATAAATGTCGTTCATAGCCTTCTGACCTCTTTTTAATTCTTGGGACTACCTCAAGGGACCATTTCCGAGGTCCCGACTGCCTCCCCACTGCTGGCCTAGCTATCGTGCAGTGAATGGTTACACCAGTTCCCTGAGGAGTTGAGGGCTGTCATCATCCCTGAGGAGAACGCTGTGTCAGAACCATTCTGCCTTACACTTCTTTTTGTTTTCTGTGAAGCTCAGGGCCAGCTCTGCTTTTCCATCCCATCTCTTAAAAAAAGATACTTATTGTTCTTTCGTGTGTGTGTGTGTGTGTGTGTGTGTGTGTGTGTGTGTGTGTGTGTGTGTTGGCTTGCTTTTTGTGGTTACAGGACTACTTTTGTAGAGTTGTTTTTCTTCTCCTTCCACCTTTATGTAGGTTTGGGGATCCAATTCAGGTCACCAAGCTTTCACAGCAAGCACCTTTACCCACTGAGCCATCTTGCCAGCCCTTCCATCCTGTTTCAGTGTAGCCTTCTGATCACACTTCTCTTCCTTGAGCTCTCCACCCAGAAAACTAGATTATCACAGGTGTCCACCCCCTCCTCTTCTCTCATATTAACCTTGCACTTGGGCAGTCTTTCAGTGGCCAGTGAAAGCAAACAAGGCCCAAGTGGCTTAATTAGAGCAGGAATTAGGCAAGAACTGGTAAATCCAGCAATTACATAGGCTTCAAGAGGCTTAAGTTTTGAATCTGAGTTTATTTTCCCTTTCTCTGTTTACTGCCTCTGTTCATATCCAGGCTGTCCCTCATGATTCTAGGATGGTTGCCTGAACCCATAAGGGTATGTGCTTCCTGGATCAGTGTCAGAGAAATACAATAATTTTTTTTCTTACAAGTCTGAATTAAAAAAGTTTGTGACCAGCGTATATACTTAACTCAGAACTAGTCCTCTGTGGGGACTGGGAAGAGAACTGCTGGTTGGTTTAACCTAACCAAGACTAATCCACAGAGATGGGTATACCTAGTCTATCTAGGGCAGTGGTTCTCAACGTTCTAATGCTGTGACCCTTTAATACAATTCCCCATGTTGTGGTGACCCCCAGCTACTTCATAACTGTAATGAATCATAATGTAAATATCTGATACACGACTTCCAAAGGGGTCACAATCCACAGGTTGAGGACTGCTGATCTAGATCATTTGTGGGAAAAGAGGATACAGAGCTGGAGATATGGCTCAGGGGATAAAAGCTTGTACAAACCTGAGTTTGATTCCCAGCACTCAAGTTAGGAAGCTCACAGCTGCCTGTAAGTATGTTGCCATGCAATCTGATGTTTCTTGCTTCTGACGGCACCCGCACTCAATGCAAGGACACAGATCCAGGCACGTGATTGCATGCACACACACACACACAGAGAGAGAGAGAGAGAGAGAGAGAGAGAGAGAGAGAGAGAGAGAGAGAGAGAGAGAGGAAGAAGAAGGAGGGGGAGAGAGACACACATACAATTAAAATAAGTCTTAAAATCTGTGTGTAGGGAGACAAAGGAAAACATTTTTTTTTCCAAAGGAAAATTGAGGAGGAAGTTAACCAATACATAAATGCCTTGGGGATCTTCAGCCTGGTGAGTTTAACTTCAACTGGCTCCTACTTGGCTCCTTTAAAGTGTTACCAGTGTCTTAGTACATTGGAAGTCTATTCATGGCATCATTGAGACAATATTATCTATAAAGTGAAGTTCAAATTTGGTTTTACTCTTCTGAATTCTCCCATGTCACCTCTTTAGCAAACCTTTAGGGAGGTAGGAGTTAGGTTTAACCTCATCTATTCTTTCAAGTCCAGTGAGGCTCCTCACTTTCATCATCAAAACTGTAGATCCCACCATCAAAATTCCTATGCAATTCTTCACAGAAATTGAAAGACAATCTTAAACTTGATATGGAAACATAAAAGATCCAGGATAGCCAAAAGTACCCTAAACAATGACAAAACAAACAAACAAACAAACAAAAACTCAAACCAAAAAACCAAAACAGCAAACAGATAAAACCCCAACAGTCTGAACTAACACCTTACTTGATTTTAAGTTATGTTGCAGAGCTATAGTAATAAAAACAGCATGATACTGCCATAAAAATTCTACACAATCATCATTTGGAGATAACTGGGACTCACATATAAGCCACACCCATATAGCCACTTGATTTTTGACAAAGATGCTAACAATACACACTACAGAAAAGACAGCATTGTCAACAAATGTTGCTGATAAAATTGGATAGTTGAATGCAAAAGAATGAAACTAGGTCCTTATCATTCTACATAATAGTTAACTCCAAGTGGACTTCAAGACAAGACATGATGCCCTGAATCAGACAGAGAAGAGAGTATGGAATATGCTTCAACTTGCAGACACACAAAAGGACTTTTTTTTAACAGGACTCCAATAGTATGGGCCTTAAGACCAACAATTGATAAATGGGATCACATGAAACTAAAGCCTTCTGTATAGAAAAGGACACCATCTTTCAAGCGAACACACAGCCAAAAAATAGGGAAAATGTCATTATCAGCTGCTAACAGAGGGTTGTATCTACATATACAAAGCCTGAACATCAAGGAAACAAACAACCCAATTTAAAAATGGCCACAGAACTAAACAGTTCTCAAAAGATGAAATACAAACTGCTGAGAAGTATTTTAAAGAATGTTCAGCATCCTTAGCTGTCAGAGAAATAAATGCAAGTTAACGCTACTTTGAAATTTCATCTTACCCCTGTCAGAATGGCTAAGATCAAAACAAAAGTAATGAAAAAATGCTGGGATGCATGTGGGGAAAGTGGAACCTTCATTCATTCTGGTGGGAGCTCAAGTGGGTGCAGTCACTCTGGAAACCAGTGTGGTTGTTTCCTTAAAAAGCTAGAAATAAATCGACCATAAGATCTAGCTATGCCACTCTTGGACATATACCCAAAGGACCATACTTCCTACTACAGAAACAACTGCTTATCAACGTTCATTGGAATCTGTGGCTAGATAGGTCATAGTGTCAAGAAGAGAACCTACTGCCATTACTTTGCTAGATGGACAAAGTATTATATTGGCTGCTAATGACTTATTGTTATACTGATAAATGAGTATGTCTCTCAAGCTGCATCAGAGAAACTTCTATCTTCAGTAGACTGTGATAAACATATAGGCCTGCAACTGCTTAAAGTGGAATGAACAAGAATCTTTGGGGTTCTCAGCCCTAGGTGGGACAGTCTGTATCACACTTCCTCTCCCCAAGGCTCAGGGACCATTGAAGAAGGGGGAGTGGGGCTAGATTGTAAGAGGCAGAGGTGGTGGAGGACCATAAGTAAACAGCGTTTTATGGACACAAAAGGGCAGTTGTATGCATTAAGTCACAGTTATTGAGACATCGGGCACAAAAACTGTGCAAGCTCAAATCACACAAAATCCCAGTATGGTAAAGGAAAGGTGGGCATGAAGCTCACCCCTAGCTAAGGAGCTATTTGTAACTAATGGCAGCTGGGA